GCGATCTCGTGGTATCGACGACGTTAGACTTATCGCTCGATATGACTTAGGTACGCTTGCCGTACCAGGATTGAGTATAAAAATTACCCCCTCCTCCTGCCAGACTTTGGACAATTTTGAGCACGCGTTGAAAATTTCGGCTAAGTTGGACGAAATATAGTCCACTTCCTTTTGGAGCAGAGCCGGGAAGATCATATCTGGTAATTTCATCAATTTTTTGGTGCACAATTAGTACCATTCCCTCCAACTTCCGATACATCTACGTGTGTTGTTGTTGTAGCAGCTCATACATCTGTGTTCGTTCTGTTTCCATTTTCTGACTCCATTAAATCTGGTTCTGCCTCTAAGTCCAATCTCAAAAAGGATACAACCTGTATGGGTTGTGTCCATAACGAGACTGGAATTAGATGAGTAGGCTTGGCTAGACAGCGAAATAGGTGCAGCGTGTCATGTGGGCCTGTGTCACAAGCTGGGCAGATGTTCTGCACATCGCTCATCATGACATCAATAATGGGTCCGGACGCCACGAGCGTACAATCATTTACGTACGTTATTATCTCTATGTCGCCAGGAGAGCGTGGAATGTCAGAAAGGTAGAGGTTAAACAGTTCCGGAGATATCACTCCACATTAAGGAACTCCCTTTTTATACCCTCCACCATACTATGGAGGGTATATTAACTTTGTCATCCCGTTTGAGACTCCTCGAAATACTCATGTCAGACCCAACAAAGTATATATATTCTTGATCAGCGTAAAATTCTAAGTCGATTTAGCCATGTCCGTCTGCCTGCCTGTCTGTCTGTTGTAATCACGATATCTTTCGAACGAATTGAGATAGAAGGCTAAAATTTTGCACACGTGTTTATTTTTCCAGTAGGCAGGTTAAGTTCAGTTAATGGGCCATGTAGGTCCACGTTTTCATATAGCACCCATATAACGGTACCTCCCTATATTCGGTATTTTCATGATTTTTGCGACATTATTCACCGGAATTGTTTCAAATTACGTATTTAGAGTTCGTAATGGGAACTTCAGTCTGTGACAGAAAAATGTCTGTGCAGGTCCTGGTCTTCTATAGCCCCCATATAACGGTACCTCCAAAAATTCGGTATTTTGATGATTTTAGTTACAATACCCACCGAAATTGTTTGAGATATCGTATTTGGCGTTAGTAATGGATGCTATAGCCTGTGACAGAAAATTGTCTATGCTGGTCCAGGTCTTAGCACAGCTCCGATATAACGGTAACTCCCTATATACGATATTTTGATGATTTTAGCTGCATTATTCACCGTTTATTTCAAGTTTCGAATTTGAATATGTTAATGGCTTATGACAAACATTGCCTATGTAGGTCCACGTCGCATAAACCCCAATATAACGGCTATATTTGGCATTTTTAAAATTTTTACAGAATGTTTTAAGGATTTTATTTTTTCAAAATTTCCAAATTCGTTCCAAATGGTGGAGGGTATTCAAAGGCCGAACTTGTTAACTCTACGAATGCTCCACTTCTTGTTTCTGAATTCCACGTACGACTGGCGTCCACACATGTAGTTTAATGTTCAATGTTTCAAACTTGGCTGGAGGGCGGTGCGCTCAATGTCCTCGAACAGTGTGGTATGATTGGCTGTATCAAAGGCTTTTGATAAATCAAGTGCCACCATAACTGTTCTATCGCACGGCCTGTTCTGGTTGAGACCTGTGCTGACATGTGTGGAAATGGCGTGTAAAGCTGTAGTTGTGCTATGCAATTTTCGGAATTTGTGTTCATGATCAGCTACTGGGAAACACTATCTTGTTCCGGAAACACCTATCTGCTACCTGAACATCAGATGGGTTGGGCAGTTCTCTAAAGCGGCGATTGGTATATTCTCTGAATTCTTGCCAATTGGCTTTCCCAACAAAGTATATATGTTTAAGGAAAGTGCGGTGTTCAGAGTCTATGTTCTATGTCTGTTCATGGCGACAATAATGGGGAGGTGCTCTGAGCCTAGAGAAATGACTGATTGCCAAGCTACGTCATTCGTCAGACCTGGGGACACGATGGATATGTCCGGTAAACTGTGGCAGTCTCCCCTTATTCTGGTGGCCGCGTCCTCATTCACTGTGCAAAACGTGGAGCTATCAATTTGCTCAGTCAGCGCCATGCCTCTCAGTTCGCACCCCCATACATTACATGTACGAGTCACTAGAGTCAATCTCAGGCGAGATAGGTCTGTACTGGACAGAGTGGTGCAATAGGAACGCTAATCCTCCACCAGAACGTTGTATCCATCACAACTTTGAAGCCTGCAGGTGGTACTCAGCTTCGTTTCCTGGATCGCTGCGACCTTGATGTTCTTCCGACTCATGAAGTTTAGCGGGGGAGTCTCATACTGCGACGAATATGAAGACTCACTGGGGTCTACATTGGCGCAGCAGGAAGCAATATAGTCCCTATCGCTGTACTACTGTATCCGGTTTAAGCCGGAACCATTCCGGAAATACTCCCACTCCATGCATCCGTTGCATCTCACCGAGACCAACCTGTGGTGGATCCAATTACGACAAACGGAGCAGAACCATGGTCCGGGGATTGGTCTCGATCCCGGCTAGGACGAAGAGAATACGGAGCAAACATTTTGGGTAATGTTTGCTGGGTTGGCGGCCCCTGGTCGAAGGATTGTTCCTCCGAGTCAATCCGTTGCATAGAACCGGCCGCCGTGGGATTGGTCTACGTGTGTAGTGATGCTTGGTGGGAATTGTGTATCCATCAAAAGCCCTAGGTTCTCTTCTATTGTCTCCATCTTATTACCCATATCATCCATCATAGTCTCGGCTTGTGTATGGGTTTTAGAAAAAAACCTTTTAATGTTTAATATGTCACGAACCTTTCCATAGAAAAGCTTCCAGGAGTTGCATTTTGCTGTTTTTATACCCTCCACCATACATAGTATGGAGGGTATATTAAGTTCGTCATTCCGTTTGTAACTCATCGAAATAATCATTTTAGACCCAACAAAGTATATATATTCTTGATCAGCGTAAAATTCTAAGACGATTCAGCCCTGTCCGTCCGTCTGTCCGTCTTTTGTAATCACGCTACAGTCTAAACTAATTAAGATAGGAAGCTAAAATTTTGCACAGATCCCTCTTTTGTCTGCAGGCAGGTTCGAAGATGGGCTATATCGGTCCACGATATCGTATAGCCCCCATATAACGGTACCCTCCGATATTCGGTATTTTGATGATTTTACCCACATTTTCTAATGGAATGGTCTGAAAATCCACAAAAGAAGTTCCTTATGAGTACTTTATCCCTTGAAAGAGAACTATCTATATAGGTCTACGATATCGTATAGCCCCCATATAACAGTACGCTCCGATATTCGGTATTTTGATGATTTTAGCCACATTTTTCAACGGAATTGTCTGATAATCCACACAAGGAGTTCCTTGTGGGTACTTTATCCCTAGAAAGAGAATTGTCTATATAGGTCCACGAGATCGTATAGCCCCCATATAAAGGTACCCCCCGATATTCGGTATTTTGATGAATTTACCCACATTTTTTAACGGAAGGAGTACCTTGTGGGTACGTTATACCTCGGAAGAGAATTATCTATAAAGGTCACCGTTATCGTATAGCCCCCATATAACGTACCCCCCGATATTCGGTATATTGAAGATTTCAGCCACATTTTTCAATGGAATTGTCTGAAATTCCACACGAGGAGTTCATTGTGAGTACTTTATCCTTTGGAATAGAATTATCTATAGAGGTCCACGATATCGTTAGCCCCCCATAAAACGGTTACATTTTTAGTTACATTTTTCAACGGAATTGTCTGACATTGTACACAAGAGGTTCTTTGTGAGCAGTTTACCCCCTGACAGAGAATTCTCTATATAGGTTAACGATATCGCATATCCCCCATATAACGGTACCCCTGATATTCGGTATTTTGATGATTTTAGCCATATTTTCCTGTGGTATTGTCTGAAAATCCACACAAGGAGTTCTTTGTGAGCACTTTAACCCCTGAAAGGTAATTGTCTATATAGGTTCCCATATATCGACACCTTCCGATATTTGATATTTTAAAGATTTTAACAGAATTTTTAATGGATTTTATTTTTTGAAAAATTTCTAATTCGTTCCAAATGGTGGAATGTATTGCTTTTTTACTTGTTAATATTTTATTGTATTCTTTAAGTTTATTGCTGCTAGTTTTTTACGTCGAGCTGTATTGTAAAGCCTTTGGACCTCTTTTCTTTTTTTATGAATTTCCCCTGTCATCCAGGGTTTTTCGTAGGCATATTTCCTCTCTCAGCATTCTTCGAATGACTTGACTAAGGTCTCCGTTAAGCTATTGACATCTATGTCTATGTCATCTATGCTTAGTATTCAATGTTTTCTTGCCCTAGACTTTCTTTTACTAGTCTCCCAACATATTGGGTTCGGCGGCTGTGTAAGTTCAAACCTTATATACCGATGATCTGAAAAAGATTTCTCATCCGAAACCCTCCAATTCTGAATTTCGTTTATAAGATTTTCCGAACAAAAAGTAATGTCTAAAACTTCCTCCCTAATTGTATTAGTCGTTAGTGTAAGGTCGTTAGTATTTATATAATCTAATAGGGCCCTGTCCTTTTTGTTAGTGTTATTACTAATCCACGCAATGTGGAGAGAGTTAGCATCGCTCCCTATTAATACTTCGTTAACTTTTAGTTTTGCTTTGCTCACCAGCCGCTGCAGTTCCGACGTTGCCTAGCGGCTCTCCTTTCTCCTCCTCGCTTGAAATTTTCGGCATCTTCGTCTAGACCGATATTCACCATATTACTTTTTGAATCTGACTGTATTATTTGGAAGAATATAAGAGATAACAACTATTTTTAAGTGAATTATGTAAATATACAAATCGCTAGATTTAATTGAAAGTAATTCTGCCTAATTAGACCTCATATCTTAATTGACCTTGCAACAATATCCTGCAACTCTCAAATATCTTGCAGCACAACAAAATCAAGTATCGCCAAAACTTGATTTAAGTGAGACCGAGGATAGTAACAATTCAACCGTACCGGTCATAAAAGGACGAGCAGAAGACCGCAACAATGAAAAAAACAAAGCAATGGATGACAACGAGAAAGACGGTGTCAAAACGGGACCTAAAATCCATGGTGTGCGTGTGACAGTTGATACTGGAGATGGCCAAACATCCAAAGGTTAAATTTTGTATTCTATTTAATTATCATTTATAATAGTAACCAAACACTTTTTAATTATTCTTCAGAATCCAAGGAGAGTGTTGAGATAACCGACTTGGGTAAGAACAAGAAACGAGTTGGCATCCATACAGACATAACATTCGAAATCACAGCCGGTGGAGATCCACATGACAATAAAACAAGCCGGGAACACGATGTTGATGAAAAGGGTAAATCAATTTCGGTGTTTTTTTTTATATTCTTCAAATACTAATTTTTGTATGTTTAGAGGATGCGAGTGTACCCATTTTCAAAGGAAGGGGAGGCTCCAATTCTCACAAGAATCGAAAACCGACCGATCCGAAATCTCAGTGGAATCCCAACTTTTCTGCTGAACGTCGTTCATATGACAACTCAGGACGAGGTCGTTATCCAGATTATCAGGAATACTATCCCGGCAACGTTCCGGTTTATGTGGGTTCCTCCGACGGTCGTGGAGGGGGAAGCTCCATTTATCGTTCCTCAGACGGCTGGAATAGTTATATACCTCGTTCTGCTTACTGGACAACCGAAAGATCAAATTACGAAAACTATAGACCAAATGATGTGTCCGGTTATCGGGTAACACCCAGTTGGAAGCCTTGCTATTGTGTAATGAACGGTAATGATTACCGTCGACGTAGAGACAGCAGCCAACCTCATCGCCACCACCATGAAGTACGCGATGAAGTTGTTGTAAAACCAACCAGCTCTTTGATCGAAATTGTAGATGGAAAATTGGAAAAGACATTTTCGAAAAAATAATTTAAGATTATAAAAAAATGTACAATTGTTTGAATTTTTGTTTTTGGTATCTTTTTCCATGCCTAAGGTAGATTTTAGTCATCATTTCTCAATGTTTTTTTTTTTTTGTATTGACCATGATTGTCTTGGGTACTCTTATTGAAAACTTATTTCTAAGAATATGGTATTTTTTCCAAATTCGTAACATTTACCCACTTAATCACATACATATTTAATTTAAATTAAAATAATGTTTATTCTTGAACCTTAAAATTATTTACGTCTTTAGAGGGTGGCAAGGAAGGGCCACATGTCTTCTTCTTTTGCTATCAGGACATACATGATAAATACCACTTTTTTGAACAAAATATACGTGTACATCGTTAAAATATGAGATTCGTAAAACATTTTGCTGTGTTCCCTTCCCCTTTTCATGGACTTCACTTTTTGTCGGTAAGAGAGCTAAAGCATGAATTCAGCTCTTGAGCGACCTCATTAAATTGACCTTGATACTGTTTAACAACATATCATAAGAGTTATATTTTTAGGCGATAATGGGTTACAACACAATATCCTTAATATATATAAAGGATTGCAAATATATCTTTTAAAAATGTGTTAAAAAAATATTGACGAAAACAAACAAAAGTGAAGGAAGAAGAACTATTCAATTGACGTAATTGAAATATAAATTTCTTTTTATTGGAAAATTTGAGTGAAATTTGATGAAGACTTTTTTTTACGCCATCCTCCTAAAATGTTGCTTTGTAGGAGAATTCAGCATAAACTCGTATAAAGTACGACTTTAACCCTAAAATGTGTTTTTAATATGTATTTATGAATTCCTGGCGTTTAATTAAGATTTAGACGTCTAATGTGTTCTGGAACCTGTAGCGGACTTTTATGACATATTCATTTGTAGAAAATCCCATTTAAAGGGAGTTTGAATCATATTTTGTTATTCGCTTGAGGATAAAATTTGTGATCAAAATGGTTCTGTATTGTTATTGTAAGGATTCAATTTTGAATCAAGATTACGTGTCTTCTATTTTATACCCTCTACCATATTGTGGAGGATATATTTAGTTTGTCATTCTGCTTGATCCTCGAAATTAGCATTTTATACCGCACAAAGTACAGGGTCTGCCATATAACGTTTCCTTTTTTAAAATAGTGCTTATTTCGTGAATGGTAACATTTAGCTCATGTTAGATTTAAAACATAGTTTTCCGTTTAACAAATATGGTATGGCTGCGAACAAAAATAAACTATAATAAACTTCTTAAACACCAAATTTGTAACAATTTCCTGGGTAAATGTGACTAGGATTATCAAAATACCGAATATCGGTGGGTATAGTTATATGTGCGCTATAGGAAAACGTGGACCTAAATATTCAATGATCTACCACCGGAGCTAGAACCCATTTTGAACTACAAAAACCCATTTTTGGACAAATCCATGAAAAAATGTAATGTATATCTATATCTATAAAAGAGGAAAATGTTTGTATGTTTGTTTTTTTGTAATTTATGGACTCGAAAACTGCTGAATATATTTTCCTGAAAATTTCCATATATACTGCAACATCGCCTGAAAATAACATAGGCTATATACATTTTTGATTTTCCACTTAGAACTGGAGATATAGCATCAGAATCGGAGGTACCTCCCAAAAATTTAGATTTTATATGCACATATCTATTGATTGGTTGAAGATACAGTCTCCAAATTTGGAATACGTAACGGAATTCGGAACAAAAATAAGTTTGCTAAATTATATTGTAATCGGTTCAGATTTGGATATAGCTCCCATATATATTTTCGACCGATTTCGGTCATTTGATGCCTCAAACACAATATGAATGTTCGATTCCAATGAAATTTGGAATGTGTGACGGGATTTAATCCGAAAATAAATTTGTCAAATTATATTGAAATCGGTTCAGATTTGGATATAGCTCCCATATATATTTTCGGCCGATTTCAAGCATTCGATGCACCAAACACGCTATGTATCCCCAATTTCAATGAAATTTGAAACGTGTGATAGATTTTATCTAAAAAATTGATTTCCCAAATTATATTGAAATCGGTTCAGATTTGGATGTAGCTCCCATATACATTTTCGGCCGATTTCATGTATTTGGTGGACCAAACACGACATGTATTTCCAATTGTAATGAAATTTAAAATAAGTAACGGAATTGGGAGCCAAAATGAATTTGTCAAATTAAATTGAAATCGGTTCAGATTTGGATATAGCTCCCATATACATTTTCGGCCGATTTCATGTATTTGATGCACCAAACACACTATGCATCTCTAATTTCAATTAAATTTGGAATGTGTAGCGGAAATTAAAACAAATATACATTTGTCAAATTACATTAAAATCGGTTCAGATTTGGATATAGCTCTCATATATATTTTCGACCGATTTCATGTATTTTATGCACCAAACACGATATGTATGTTCGATTCAAAAGAAATTTGGAATATGTAACGGGATTTTGATTAGAAAATAAATTAGTCAAATTATATTAAAATCGGTTCAGATTTGGATATAGCTCCCATATATATTTTCCGCCGATTTCACATATTTGATGCACAAAACACGATACGTATTTCCGATTCCAACAAAATTCGGCATGAGTGGCTAAACTTGGTACAAAAATAAATTTGACAAATTATATTCAAATACGCTCAGATGTGATTATAGCTCCCATATATATATACTCAGCCGATTTCACATATTTGATGCACCCAAAGCGAGAGAGACAAAATCTGGCACCAGCAAAAATTGCCAAATTATATTGAAATCAGTTGAGGTTTGCATATAGCTAACATATATATTTCGGCCGATTTCATACATATTATGCACCAAACACGATATATATGACCGATTCCAATGAAATTCAGAATGTGTGGTGGAATTTGGTTAAAATAATAAATGTGATAAATTAATTGGAAATTAGTTAAGATTTGGATATAGCTCCCATATATATATTCTCGGCCGATTTCACTTATTTGACGCACCAATTTCAATGAAATATGAAAGGTGTGGCGGAGTTTGGTGTAAAAGTAATTTTTTTTATAATTATATTTAAATCGGATCAGATTGGGATATGATTTTAATAAGAACCATTGACCCACAACGCCTTAGGCTAACACTAAAAAACAACACAACAATTTATTTGAAATACGCTTATTATAACGGCGAAGTATGTTGCTATCTCGAATTCACTAATTGCAATAGAAATGCCACTCTACTTAAAAAATTGCAGTTTCCTGCACGCTTGGTATTTGCTATGAAATAAATAAATCCAAAGGACAAACCCTTCGTGTATGCATGTCATGTTACTGCTTTTGTAATGATTCTGTTTATTAACGCATTAAATTAATGCAATATCTTTTTTTAATTTTTAAATTTGTTTTTCTTTATCCAACATATATTCGTAAATAAAATTTTGAATGCATATAAAATCAAAAGGGGTAGCGAAGCGCACCGGGTTCAGCTAGTTGTTATATATATATATTTTGGAAGAAGAAAAGCACATACATTAAACAACCAATGGACCCAAAATGGTTTGATATTTGGTGCGAATTGTGATAAAGAGGAGTGGCCGTAGTCAGACCATGTTGAAAGAATTGGAATTCAAACCAGTAAGGAAAGCTCAAAAGTCGGGCGGGACCGACTATATGATACCCTACACCACTATGCATATTTAGTAGAGCTCTCATAAAAAGGTTTATACAGGGCATTTCAGAGCTCTATGAGATATTTGGTACAAAATCAAATCTCTGAACCGATTTTTACTAAAATTGGTGTACTTGCTTATAGGCTGGTTTCGGTTGAATTTGCCAAAGTTCATGCCATTTGGGCTGATATTGGCCATTTGATGCACAATTAACACGAAATCGGATGAAGATATATATGAGAGGCATATCCAAATCGGAACAGATTTTAATAAAATCAAAATCAACTATTTTTGGGCTTTATCTGATATCTGGTACCAAATATCATTCCTGTGGAGTGCATATTACGAATGTGAGGGACTTAAAGACCAAATCGGATGAAAGATATATATGGGAGCTATAGCTATATCTGAACCGATTTTTACTAAAATTGGTGTACTTGCTTCTAAGCTGGTTTCGGTCGGATTTGCCAAAATTGATGCTATTACGGCCATTTAGTGGTCAATCACCCGAAATCGGATGGAGATATATATGGTTGCTATATCCAAATCTGAACCGATTTCGATAAATATATCACGGTTGTGGAGTGCATAGTAGGAATGTGAGGGACTTAAAGATAAAATCGGATGAAAGATATATATGGGAGCTATAGCTATATCTGAACCGATTTTCTCCAAATTTGATATACTTGCTTCTAGGCCGAACTCGGTTGGGTGTGCCAAAATTCGGGTAATTTGGACTGATAGTGGACATTTGGTGCACATTTAACCCGAAATCGAATGAAGATATATATGGGAGCTATATCTAAATTTGATCCGATTCTCACCAATTTCTATAGGGTTCGTCCTTGGGCCAAAAAAATATTGTTTGGAAAATTTCATCTCAATCGGATAATAAATGCGACCTGCATTTTGTTCACAAGAATACATGGACAGACGGACGGACGGACGGACGGACTCAGACTCGACTCAGAAAGTGATTCTATGAAGGTTCTCAAAAGTAACTATGGGTCTATCTCGTTTCCTTCTCCATGTTACAAACAAATGCACAAAGACATAATACCCTTACCACTATGTGGTGTAGGGTATAAAAAGTTTAACATTAGAATATTTGGTCTCAACAGGACGGCGCTACGTTCCACACTGCCGAAGTTACACTCGATATTTGAGCCCCTTTTTGAAGATTCGCTCCCTCGGAGCTGCAATATGACACCGTTGGACATTTATTTGGTGGGTTCCAAAGATATGTGTTACGCCGACAAATTGGAGGCAATTGAAACTTTAAAGAACAATATTCGTGAAGCCATTGGTGAAATAAAACTGCATACAACCGATAATGTGCTTA